AAACCAGAACGAACTTTTCGCCGTTCTGTCGCGTGTCACGCGAGATCGATCGATGCGAACTGATTTCGTTTGGAATAGAAAGATTGGACCGATCGTTTTATATTAGCAATCGCAGTGCCTCGAAGTTAAACCTTCGACAGTCCAATATAATTACGAATTAGAGTGAATAAAATTCATATCTTACACGTATCTTCTTAATAATCACGTCGTGGGTGATTAGTTTGAAAGCACGGTTTAAGTACGTAGCCCTGTGTCACAGTTCTGACAATGTCTCGTCTCTTTCTAACTTTCTTCCTAAAAGTCTCTCTTGAGTTAAACTGTTCGTTACTTAACGCACTGCCCGAGTCTCACTCGGGACAAACTGTCGAAAGATCAGTTCGATATCTGAAGAACCGAAAGAGATCGTCGCAAAATGCAAAGCGTGTTACTTACAGATGTACCTTCTACAATATAATTTCGAAATATGATCCTTGCTGTGTCAATTTCTGTCAACTTTTGCCCCCAATTATTCTGATATCAACATTGTCACAATGTTTTTAAACAATTATCAAAATTTCTGCTTTACTCGTACTTATCCGCTAAGTGCAATTCGACATACACTACCGGCCAAATGTCTGGAATCATCGTGCATTGCAAGTTGCACAAAAATTCCCGAAAAAGGTTAGCATTTATAATAATTTTCCAATCGAAATGAGGTAAAGAATTAAAATCAATAAAGAATTAGTAGCAGATTCAATATCAATTGGCAGGTACCTACAATGTACCTACTATTAATAAATTAACATTCGAATTTTCATAACTGAACCGTCCCAATTTACTCCAACTTCGGTATTTCATCGAATACCAAAATCACAATTTCTATTATAAAACTCTCCATGACAATTATACTAAATCCTGCTCAAATCTGCAAATCATTTAACACACACTGTCACACAAACGACATCCGCAGCGAAGATAGTAAGAAAACAAGATCCAAGAAATTTCGAATTCTCGTGGATCAAACGTCGCCAAAAGTGCACAAATATAGCGGTTAATCGTTACAACAGCTACGGCGGAGAAATTCCACGTAGAGGAAAAGTGTAGGAGCCCCTTGCGGGGCCATAACCGACGCGGGTTCTTTCGCGTAAATACGAGAGGGTGACTCGGTAAAGCCAGCGGAACATCCAGCAATATTGTCCGCACTATCTGACACACCATTTACCAGCAACACCCTCGTCCATTTTGTCCCAGCATATTGGCCTCGCATACTCGACCGTGAAAATGTTATAGGCACGTACGCGGCTCGCATAAATCGTTCTGACACTTATGGTACATTATTCGCCGGTCGCGGCCCTTCGCGTATTGAATTAGGATGCTGTCTCACGGAGATTACGATCAGAGGAGAAAAGCAAGACCAGAAGTCGAGAGCAGGTATAATGCGGGGGTATTAGGCGGATAAAATTGCACGATGATCGTTAGGTGAATGGAGGATTACTTTGGTCAAGCTGAATTGTACACACTACCGATCGAAAGTTTAACCGTACGAAATAAACCGAAGGTAAGTGTGTAGGGGTAGAATTAGGCGAAGAAAGTTTGAATTTGATAAACAGATTTGAATTTCGTCCAATTGAATTACGAGGGTGGATTGAAAAGTTCGCGGCCCAAGTGTGAAGAACTGCTGCTAGGTGCTTGCAATTTTTACGGTGAAATCTGTGATCGTTTGTGTACTGACGTACGAAGTTTCGTGGCTCTCTTTTACAGCAGGTGAAGTAGGGGTGTTTACAGCGACGGAGAAGAGACGAATAGAAGCGAGGAACGATCCAGTACCTGGTGACGAAGGACATCACCGCAAGAACCTTGAATGATTTTCGCAAGGACTTGGAATAATTTTTGCAAGGTCCTTGAATGATCTTTGAAGCGAGGTCCTTTACCTTCAGGTATTGGATCGTTTTCTAATTTTGTCCATCTCTACTCCATCTACTGCAAGTACCTCTACTTCACTAGCTCTAAAAGGGGGAAAAATGACGACAGAGACACGAAACTGTATACATTAGTACACAATTAATTACATATTATTCGGTAAAAATTACAAGCACTTAGCTGCAATCCTTCATACTTAGGCCGTGAACTTCCCAATCCACCCTAGTACATCAGACTTGTGCATTTTATGTTGAATGATAATTGTAAACGATTTTTAACGATTCTCCGGATGGTTCCTTTGAAGAAGAGACGTATTTCATGCTATTAACTGATTTTAACCCTTTGTAAATCATTTTTACTACGGGCTACCAGCTACT